TGGGAAAATAGTCCTCTTTTCATTAGTGAAAACCGCAACTCTCTATCTATCATCGTCTTCGAGTTATCAAAGAAACGGTAACCTGCATTATATTTTGGTACGGATACTAGTAAACAGATATAAGAATGTAAACATTATATCAGTATCTTCAATATATTGACTACTGCTATTCTAAGTACTAATGCATAATATTCTTTATATAGAAACTAATTTCTATGTTCTATTCGGGAGTTCTTAGATTAGTCTTGTTGCAGTGAAGTATGATTATGACCACTGTTCTACTTCGTTTTCTATCAAAAATATGAGCATAATACCCTCTACTCCACACAAAAAATTAAGTTTTACTCCTGCTAACATATTATGTGAATCATGAATAACAGAATGAAAGAGAGTTTTTCATATTGTCTGTTTTTTTGTTGCTTTCGATAAAAATGAACTTACAAAATTTATCTCCAACTACTCAGCTTGGTCACGTAGCGCGACACTTAACTGATCAAGATTTTAAAAAAAACGTTTCATCTGTGAACCGCGATGAGCACATCAATAGATTCAAATTTTCGGGCTGATTACGAATATGACCTTTTTAAAAAGAAAAATTGTAAGTTTTTAACAAGCTGAATTTCAACTTTTTGACCTAGAATTTATTTTAAAAAGTTTAAAATTTACGCCATCCGATAGAAAATTAAATTCTGTACAAAATGTCACATTTTGTTTTTCCATTCGACTGTAGAAATAAAAGCTAAATCTTTTCGAAAGTTCAGGGTTTCAGACAAGTTTAAAGCGGGAAAAAGTTTCTTTTACTGTTTGTATAGACCAAACAGTTAGCTACAAATTTGCTTTGAACGATTTTCTTCCAACTCTTACAGTTTCATCACAAAATGCAGGTTTATTCACCTGGCTAAAAAGAAGGGACGTATTTTGTCACAGCGTTACGTTCCAAAAATTTAGCCCCCAGCCGCCATTTTGCGTTTTCTTAGTGTACATAGGGGATTGTGAGACGTATAAAATAAGACTAGAGTGGCTTTTCTGGTACGCATAGTTCTTGAGAAATTTGAGAATTTACTGTGTAAAAAATGTTACGTTTGGCCAAGTTGTACTGATCTTATCCAATTTTTGATTGTATTTACACGTTTATCAACATAAAAAATATAGACCATCAACTACTAATGAATACTCAGATGATAGCGATGACAGTTGTAACAGAACTATCAAGGACTACTACACCCCTGTTAGAAAAAAAGGAAAAGTATTTTAGTAGACAAATGACTTTCCGGTATGTTCATTTTTTGTTTAACCAGAGATGGTTCACACAGTGATCGCTATCGTCAGCACTGTTTCCAGAATGCAATGGAATATTGTGCAGATTATTTTGTTAAATGGATTTAATCCATATTATAACTATCGTTATGCTCCTGCTGTATAAAAAAACATTCTATTTACAAATTTTTGCTTTTTTATGTTTTCACCGGTTTGGTAGTGGGTTTTATATTGTAGTAAAAGCTGATTTTATCCATTGAAAAAAACCATTTGGTCTTAAATGTTTACATGGACACTGTTATTGAAGAAAAACGGTCCTATTATTGCGCATTGTAAAGTAATAATAGCATTGTTATCGTATCGGTTTTCTATACATATTCCGAATATTTTTGTGGTATAGCAGCAATAGTAGCTATTATAACAAATAGTCAACCTAATTTACGTTTAATAAGTCAGAGTGTCACAAATATTAAACTTAAAGTATACAAAATAAAATACAGCGATATAAACTCGATGTATTCTCATATACCTCTAAAATTCTTCTTCAATATCGTCTTCATCTTCTTCTTCTTCTTCAGGTATTGGGGATTTAGTTGATCTTTCATTTTCAGGTATAGGATCATCTATCTCGATTAACTTTTGTTCAATATCTCTAAATTCATTCTGTGGTACGTACTCCATTATGAGATTTGCAAGCGAACTTTCTTCTCGATTCTTCAATCCCCATCCAACGTAAAAATTTTTAAAACGTCTAAAAACAGATTTATCATATTTTACATCTATCTGCTATGAATGGAGCCGGTAGTGTGATATCAAAGTATTAGCACTAGTTTCAACTTTTTATTCTAATAACAAAATCACATATTTGAAAGTGACTTCTACAGATCTATGTAAGTCGTAGCTTCGTAGCACTTTTTATCATATCTCACTCAAAATCGATCAAATGTGCCAGAAATTTTTAAGATAAATGTAAAAAAATTAGACTAAATTAAGAAACTTTGTTTTAGACTAACAAAGTTTCTTCACTCAGAGAGGGAGAACAAAAAATGTTAACTTACATTTTTTTTATAGTGTTAACCTGTATTAGTGATGAGATTTGGTAGCCGCTGCAATTATCAACTTATTTTATTCGAATTTATAGTCAAAAGTTAGTTGAAAAACGACCGATCTCATGGAAATACATACAATAGTATTTATTTTAATAACTGGTACCTGTGGTTGGTACCCTTGAACTAGTTTGAACAGTGAGAGTTATCGATTATCAACGTGACTGAATATCTAATTTTAATTGATTTTGCAAATGACTTACCTCCTATCACCAACAGTATATGCACCTAAAATGAATGTATAAGAAAAGTAAATTACTCAAGTCATAGTCATGTCAGACTATGTAATGTTGAAATATGTATATGTATAATACATACCTGGCCATCGATTTGATCTAACTGATACAAGTGCATGCTCTGGTACCAGTGCTGATGAGAGACTAATTGACCATGCGGGATACATGTCTGCAATTGGACTATCATGATTAACTTCAGTTAATAAATTTGGTCCACGTTCAACGGCCTCTTCAACTTCATTTTCAGCTTCGCTTTCATCGTTCAGTCTCTCGTCGTGAGTTGGCTCTGTATAGAACATATGGAATACAGACTTTAATGGATTTATTTGTTCAAACTACATACTTCTATAGGGATTAATAAATGAATTTCTTCCTTGCGGTAGTATATAGGGAACAGCATGAACCTAAACAAAATATACAATTGAAAACTTTCTAATTTGTTTCAACATATTGTATACAGCATACCCAAAATTCACCATTTGGCAGTATTAAGTCTTCCAATGCATTTCCTTCAAAGTTTTCATCAACCACAAATGTTTTTGGAGCTACACAATCAAAGATTCGATAACAAACAAACATCATCTTCTATTAATTCCACATTACCATCCTCAACCTCTTCTTGCTCTTCGTCATCATTTGGTAATTTAAAATAGTTCAAAGGTCCTAACTGTGTTCCAGCACTAATACGTTGAACTTGTGCACGTAATAAATGTTTTTCAACACCAGGAAATAGTGGTTGACTCTGAACTTTTGATTCTAAATTTCCGGTAAACAAACGTCTAATTGAACGTGCTAGACGTATTTGATCCGATGTAACCATTGGTAATTGAATAAAATCATCATTCACTAAAAATATTAAATAGATTTTAGTTATACACGCTACAAACGATTATCTATCGATCTAATGACATTTGTCAACAAGTCATTTATTCAAATATTACGTTTAAACTGTTCCGAAGTGAACAAAAATAGACATACTAAATATATTCTAAAATAATGATGCTATTTCTCTTACTCTTTGATATAACATAATAAACTTTTTGGTTTACACCACTGCCCGGTTGTTCAGGTGGAACAGATGTTGAAGCTTTCCATTTTGATTTTTGTGCTGATTCTCTTGTGCCAATTTCTTCATCCTAAATAGTTTCTATTACTATCTCGAATTAGATAAACATTTTTCTCTTCCTACTTGCTCTGTTACGGCACTTTCTGTCATTGTTTCTTCAGTTCTATCTGATTGTTCTGTTGCTTCTATAAAATAATGATCATTTAGATCAACATCATCGAACGAATCTTTGTCTGCCTAAATAGGAAAACAAATTTCGTATCGTCACAAAAACTATGTATGTACTTACTTCAACAACATAATAATTTTTATTGATACCAAAAATCTTTCCCCAGAATCTTAATCGAGATATTTTTTTCTGATTCAATAATCTTTTCATACCTAACCATACCCTAATAGAAAAGAACGAATAGTTTTTTTGCAAATTTTACTTTAATCAATTGTAATGGTGCAGCAAACCAGTATATTTCTTCTTTACTGATTCCACAGCCAATTTGTTCAACCATTGCATGTAATTCTAAGGCATTTCTCATTCTTCGAGTATCTTCTGAGTCGTCTGGTAATGTAAATTTTTCCTAAACATATCGATCGTTACTAGACATGCATCAATCCGATAGTTCGGTGACCAAATGATTCGCAACCGAACATGTTCCATCGCGGACCATTCGCTGCCGATCAGCGAGCCCTAGCTTGGGATTGTTGCATGCCTAATCGTTATACACATAGCTCAGAAGGGTAAAAATCTTCAGAGCCCTGTAATTTGATAGAAGTAGAAAACGTAAGCCCTTACCGATAGTACTTCAAGTTGTCGCAATGCTAATTCATGTATTGTTTGATCTTTCTCATTTTTATTTGTGTTTGAACTTTCTGATTCTTGTTTCTGTTGTTGTCGATCGTCTAATGAATCTTTTGCATCAACATTTGTTTTGAACTTTTCTCTGTTGAATGTTGAATCTGGTACATACGGTGTCTTCTTTAATTGACGCGATAGTTCTTCAAATATATGTTGAGGATCAACGGGACGATGATCAAATAAATAACGTAATAATTTTGAAATATGATCATACCTTTGATTATAAACAATTTGTATAGTTAGAAAAATCTTCTCAGCATTAGTAATCTGTGTTCATGATTGAAAATAAATATAATGTGACTGATACAACAGAAATATTTAATGAAAACGTCCAAAATCAAACAAAATTAAAATAGAAATATCTGCATTTTCTTAGAATGTAAAAGAGTATACTACCTACATGTTCATTCCACTAAATGTTTTATGATAGATTAACGCCTCTTTCTCTTTTAGTAACAACATTTTTGCCATTGAATCTTCTTTTGTTGTTTGATGAAATTGTGCTAATGATAAAGCTTGTATCGGATGAAATATTTTCTTTTGTTGTCGAATAGAATCCTTAACAATTCTTGATTCAAAACTGAGATATAATTCTGGATGCCATGTTATGCCAATTTGAAATGGTTGTTGTTTATTAACAATAGCCAAATAAACATCTTCATGTGACATACATGTGACATCTTCATTAGCAATGGTCAGTAATCGATCGCCATCTCTTATGGAATAATCATACCAAATACCTGTGGGATCAACATTTTTAAATATGTAAGCGAATGATTTAGAATCTTTTGATAGTTGGATGTTGTAGCACATTAATGTTACCTCGGGCTTTTCAAAAAGATCTAAAAGTTATCAATACATGATCCGAACTATGTTATAAAACAGATTGATGACGTTTCTTTACCTGGATTAATTAATATACTGCGATCTGTTTGTCCTGGTAGTCGACGGAGTATCCCTTTATCATTTATTCGTATCGAAACATCTATTCAACAAGAAGAAAGTGAACAGATAACAAAATTAGATAAAATGTTTTGTACGTACTAGCAAATTCCATTGAGTTTATGCACAATTATTTCCGGTATTTATTATGCAAATCTAAAATTATTCAAGCGAAAAGCAAGAGCCAACTTAATACTGTTCATTTCAAACAAGAATGCATATGGATGTTTTGTAAATATTTTGGGAACGAAAAGAGCTAGCTCTGTGGTTTTCAGCGATCGATGGACAAGATCTTGGCACGTGACTTATAGGAAAAGTATCTTTCAAAATCCTTCGCAAAGGCCGGTTTTTGATGAGATCTTTGGATAACCAGATTGATAGCTCGAAAGTTGCCGTACAAGTCTTTTCATTTTCTTGAATGGATGGACAGCCCAAAGACAGATCCTCTTCGAAATGAGAGCTAAGCAGTCTCTTAACTTTTTATGGTTTAGGCGTAGCATCGAATTTCCTGAGAGCCTCAGAATCAATATTACTTTAGGTGTGTTAATAACAGGGTGTGAAATAACCCATTTTGCGTATTTTTGAGTAAAATTAAAAAAAATTATAACTCAGTCAACGTCCATAGAAATTATATCAGAATATCCAGATATACTGTATTTTATCTGTTCAATATGATTTTTTACTTGTGTGTGTTAAGTGTTCTTTTACTTCGGAAGATTTCTACACAACCTTGTCAAGAACCAAAGTATTTTCTGTTGATTTTTAACACCTTACTTGAACTCAATGGTATAATGTGGATTAACTAGAGTACATCTGGATATTTTAACATAATTTCTGTGGATGTTGACTGAGTTATGAATTTTTTAATTTTACCCAAAAATAGGCAAAATGGGTTATGTCACCTAATATAGGCTTCTACTCGGTTTCTGGAACTTTTTCGAAAAACAAATGTTACCAGGAGATTCAGCGTGGCCTATTGCATTCTTTTCTGAAATGGACAGTGATTTTGAAGGGCGTTTGTATCTACCGTGAGATTAGTTTACTGACTAGCGTAGTAACTTCTTCCTTTTTTACCATTTTATTGCTACATGTTACAAAATTGTTCTAGACACTTAAAATGTCAAATATAGCGAACATCAGGATGTCTACTTTCTGTACGTAAATTTTGTTGAGAAATATAAACAAATTTTTTAAATTTGTTTTCTGATGTTTTCTGTATCGATTGTTCTTGTATATTCTGCGTTCTGTTTAGCGAAATATGTAACGATGATGATTTTTCCAATTTCAAACAAGGACTTGCAGACGATGGTATTTGATTGACTCTTCAATACAAAAATAAGGCAAGGGAATGAATACTGATCATGTATACACTCACATAGGCATTACTGATGTACAAAATACTCGCAACCAATTTTGTTTACAACCATAATTGAACGGATTTTGACCGTATTTTTCAAATTTTCCAGTTACCTGGTGAAGAAGAAAAGCCATCAGAGTAACATACAAAATGTCACCGAGAAGCTAACCTGTTCAGTTGTTGTTAAACCTTTTGAAATGAGAATAATGTGAAGACCCATTAATCCACCGACTGGAACAATCATCACAGCATCAAGAAACAATAAAAACATTTTAGAATTATGTTAAGAAACATAATTTAAAGACAAGAATAATATAGTATATACGACCTCATCGACAAAAAGCATGTGAACTGTCTTTGATGATCAACTGACATCTGCTCACACTTTCTGGAATAATCAAGAAAAAAAGGCTGATGGTGATCAATTTTCAATTTTCAGTTTCTAAACCGAAAGAATTTTCGTTTTATATATTTGTAATTGTTGCAAATGACAAAGTGAAAAGGATATGATATGAGCACTTTTGCTTGTAGAAATCTATCTGTTAATGATACAATTAAATATAAAGAACAAATAAATGTTATATTCATGTGAATTACTAAGAATAGTAGAAATAAGAAAAAAAAGCGATAATTCCGTTTTCCCACACAATTACATAGCCAAGGACAATGGTGATCCATGGTCTAGACAATGAGAGAAAAAAAGTCAGACAATCAGTGAAAGTATACTTCTCGCATGATGACTTACGTCAATACAATATTTACATTTACTGCAATGATGTGTTCGTGGAGATCTCGTCAACAAACATGTGTAACACCATGAAACATCAACTGAAAATGTTTTAACATTACAATGACCACCTGTCTGCTCAAAAAATTTATTTTCATCTCCATCTCTTTCTGGAGAATCTAAAATCGATCAGTAGAAACACTAATCCCATGAATAAATTTCAACTCTAATCATACATGGATGATAGATGCCCGGATCCATGATCATTGCTTGAAAAAAGTTTTGTGTAACATAAAATACAAATATACCGTGAATAATAGGTACAACTTTTGACACTTCATGAAAAAACCATGGACATCTAAAATAATACGCTTAAGAAATTTTTACAACAAATTTATCATAAATCGTCACTTACACAAATATGAAATATAAAAGTGTGACTGTAGTAAATAGAAACCATGCTGTAAGAGGATATAATATCGATTGACTTCTTTCACTGCTGCCTTTTTCTACCATCGATTCCTTTCCATCATCTATTATTGATGACAGTTGTATCTGTTGAGAAACTTGACTTTTTGAACGAGCCAGTTTGATAAAATTACCAAATTGTACTACAAGTAGAGAAATAATATTTAAACTGGCAAGCTTTATAATTTGTCATATGCATACACTCTGTGGCTGCCTACTGTGTCATATTGTTCCTGACAATAAGTCTTTTTGAAGAAATACAGAAAACTGTTATTTAGCTTATATTAGGCTGGAGTTCATAAAAATTACGGGCCACATCTTTTTTGCACTCTACAAAGTACATCTCAAACATATCAGGATACATTAGCCATAAATTTATAGTATTAACATGAATTTAAACTGATTGCGCAGTCATATGGCCGAGTTTGACGATTAATCTTCGCTGACTATAGTAAAAAATATGCCGCCCTTTCATTTAGCCTATCTGTTCGACTGTTGCTCTTGGCAACCCAGTAGTAATCTCTAATAACCCTTTAATAAACAATTAGCCTAAAACAGACTAAAACTTGAACAGCAAAGGAAATTTTCTCACGTCAAAAATTTCGGCACATTTAATGCATTATCGGTTTATTACACTACGTTTAGTTTCAGCGATGTTCGTTGTCGTAGTAACAATGAGGCAAATGGCTCCCAATAACGAGAAAAAAGTAAACGCTTGACTTTTATCAAAGCTGATTAAGATTTAATTCGAAAAGAAATATAAACGCAACAAAATCAACGATTGAACTTTTTGAACAGTTGTCTGTATAGTGCTGGATAGGCGTGTCTGTATAGGGTGGGATTGTGCGTTACAATAGGTGGAGTTAAGATTAAATCATACTGAAATATTATTGTGACGCATGTGACAAACGTATCATTCTCTTTCTTACGCATCAAAATTAATCTATCTTATAATGCTTTAAGATTTGTAGCAGATTGATATTCTGCTAGGTCTTTAGTCGACGTCTAGTATTGATGAATATTTTTGAGAAAAAGATTAGTTTTTACACCTGTAGCCAGTATACTAAGAGAATTTGAAAAATTCAGAATTCATTGCGTTCTATTTTATGTCTTAGAGCATTTTAAAAAATATGTTCATCATAGTTTTATGTTTACTCGAAGTTTTAACCTCTCGAGTTAAATCGTCAATTTTGAGATATGAGTTTTTCCTGCAGAATAAAATGAAATCTTGAAAATTAACAAATTCAGCAATATACTTACTTCAGTGTCCTTCTACGCATAGTTACAGTGGGTGGATCGGCGGGAAAAATTGCACTCTTCTAGCGAGAAAACTGCCGTAATTGTCCAATCACTTTTTCCTCGAAACATACATCGTTAAACTTTTAGAGTGGACCTCTGGAAATCTGGCCTCTGGAGACCCATCTTAAAATCTAAACACAGCATTAAAAATCGCCTTTAACCATGTATATTTCGGGGGAGAAAGCGATTGAACACCTTGGGTGGTCTACTACTACTAAAATGCACCATTAGAGAGTAGTTCGATGCTTACATATCGATCAAAAAACACATATGACATTTTTGGAGCCTCAGATAAGTGATTAGTTAGTCTTAGTCTCTCTCTCATTTTCTCTTCTCTACATTTAGAAGTTTTCGAAGTTTAAATAGTGTTGCAAGGATTTTATCATGCCATTAATTGACGATTTAATTCGACAGGTTAAATTTGAGATAAACACAAGACCATGATGATCATATATTTAAAAAATTGTGTTTTTTATGCAGTTGAGACTTTTTTCTAAATTTTTTTTACGCTAAGTATTGAGTAGACATGTGGAAGGTTTTCAATACAGTAATCCACGAATAGGTTCGATGCTTTATTCATAACAGTAAAAGAAATGTTTGATAACAGAGAAAGTACTCTGCTGTTTTGATATACTATTATGCCTGGGTTTTTCCTTAGTTTTTCAGAATATGTCAGATCGCATATCTCGTCTTAAATCCTCATCAAATGATATATCAACGAATCGTCGTCGACGTAGCCCGGAGGGAGAAACGGCAGAGAAAACAACATCTAAACTTTCATCGGTATCGTCTAACGATTCTGCATTCCCCAGTAGTATTGAAATAGACGATAACAACGATAACAATTCTCGTTCAAAAAGCAGTCATGGAAGACTAAGTGGAAATGATTCAAAATCTACTGAAATTCCGTTAGTACAAGGCCAGCATCACACATCTAGCAGTAGCGACGATCGATTTAGACATGGCATTCGGTATATTACTGATGGTCTTATTCGTAAACTGAGTAAACAAAATAATATAACTCGAATAAAAACACTCGATTTCAGTCAACTACGCGACAAAAAAATACGTTACATCGAAAATCTACAAACGCTTGTCGGTTTAGAACAATTAAATTTAAACAACAATCTTATTGAAAAGTTAGACGGTCTTAAAACATTGAAAAATCTAAAGGAATTTTATATCGGTCATAATTTTATTAAAACATTAACAAACTTAGAAGAATTATCAAAATTAGAAGTGTTAGATGTCCAACATAATCAAATCAGTGAAATACCCGCATGGTTTGCGAAAAAGTTAATATCATTGAAATCACTTAATCTCTCAAATAATCGTATTCAATCATTCGATCAGATAGTCAAGTTACGAACATTGTATGAATTGAAAGAACTGAATTTACAAGGAAATGAAATTAATCAACATGAGCATTATCGTCTACTTGTCATCTCTTATTTACCAACATTAAATGTTCTAGATCAAGTGAAAATTACTGAAGAAGAACGCGAACAAGCAAAAGAACAGTAAGTATTGCTTTCACAGGATAAACAAGCTAAATATTATTGCTAAGTACATTTGTGTGACATTGACTCTAAAGAGTATAACAAAATGATGAATATAGTACTTTTCAGAGATCTTTATAGAGGCCTAAGAAACACAGTTTTGCTGAATAAACTTCTTTTAATCATAGAGAAGCCGATGCCTTGAAAACGTGAACTACGTACACAAACCTCGTTACACATCTCCAGAATACTTAGTGATTCGATCTTCAGAGACGATCATCTCTCCCACTACTAATCGTCATTCTAACTTCTAATTCAGAGAACAGACAAAATAAAATGTATTCTCTATGAATCAGGAGAATTTACTGCGACTAACAAATTTTAATTCAAACTCGATTCTACTGAAATAAATTTGTCGCTTATTTATTTACAGAAAAGTTCAAGCCTTGAAAACTAGTCCTTAATAAGCGATTGCAAAACAAATTTATTCAGTTCAAATAAAATCGAATTTGAGATCAAAAATATATTTTTGTCTCCAGTTTGCCTAGTCGAAATTCGCATCTGATCGCAGTATTCTCATCTTAATACTGTAAAGTCTGTCAGAAGTATACAAATCTTCGTAATAATAAAAACAAAATCATTTCATACAGAAAATAAAACGGTACTTTTAACGTATCGCTATGTGTAAATAAATATCCTATCGTCGCCACGACTAAGAAACAAGTTGCATAAGATACAAATCAGCCAGTTGTAATGTTTTTTTCTCGTATTTAGATTTGTTCAACAAGAAGTTCAAAACTTATTACATTTACTTGAACGACGTGATAATGAATGTCGGCGATTAAATATGCAAACATCGAGTAGTGAACAAATGTTAGAAAAAACAAGTGATAAATTGAAACGATTAGAACATGTTAGCAGTACTCAAGTGAATGAAATTAAAGTATGTTTCTAATCATGCTGTGTATTTATTCTAACATGTTTCGTTTGTTTAGCTGTTACAAGAAAAATTGCAGGCAAGTGAAGAAGAATTACAGCGTAAAACATCATTATTATATCAAGCATGTGAGAAACAAACAGAATTAGAGCAAGAATTAGCATTTTATAAAATTGATTTGAAATTCGATATGATAGGTCAGTAGATATTACTCATATAATCGAAATAATTAATCTATGAACATATATTTATTGTTTAGATTTTTCTCAATATCTAAATGGAAATACGGTAAGACATATGAACAGAGGTTTAACGAAAGATAGTCCGTATATTGGAAAAGCAAAAGTAAAATTGAATAGTTATGCCTTGGAACAAGAAATGATTAATGATGAACAACAACAACTAGCCAGGTATACTACGAATTAAAATTTTCTCATTATGATTTTAAATATTTTTATATTCTTTTTTTAGTGTGGGTCATCTTCAAAATCAATCAATGATTCGAATACAAGCCAAAGATTTAAACAATCTAATTGGATGTCAAGAAGCGACATTGTTGAATCGTGGTAAATTTCAGTACTAGTATGTCATACTCTTGACATACTGAAGAAGTTGCATACTTTTTTGTTCAATTAGAGGTCCTACTCGCTCAATTCGATTGATTCTTGTTTTTTAGATGATAATCAAAAGTACAATGAAAAATTATTAGAATTAGCTGTGAAAGTTAGTGAATTATCATTTTTACGTGCTAAACATGAAATATTTGAAAATCGTTTGGAAATAGCTCGTCAAAGTGATAATCCTGAGTTATATGAAGACACTATTAAAGTAAGATGTCAATGGAAATTAAAATAAGTTTTATTTTCATTATGCACTTGTTTAGCAATTATCGAATGATTTAAATTTATTACAAAATGAAATGATGAATAAGATTAGTCATATTCAAGATTTGCAAATCGATTTAGGTAATATGCGTCAAGATCAGGGTAGTGGAGTTGGTAAAGACGTAGAACGTATTACAAAAGAATTAAAATTGAATGATGTTCTACAACAACATATTGATCGATTGAAAAAAGCTGATTTATACGATAGAAATTATGAGCAAATAAGTAAGAATGGTACAACATTTGAGCAAGCGTTAAATGATGCCATATCATCATCAGGTATGTTAGAAAGACGTTCTTGTGCATGTGACAAACGTGGAGCATAGTTCAAAACATTTGCAGTTAGAAATAAATTGTTCATATCCTCATAAAATGTCTTATTTAAAAAGATTTTTTTTCGTACGATAGATTATGCCTTGATAGTGTTTATCAACATTATAAAGTGAATACGGATCTTGAGAGAGATTGATGTTGACAGATTCGATCACAAAGAAAATTATTTTTTCTTTAATAAATTAACAGATAAATTCGTCTTTTATCTCATCGAGCTGATTGACCTGAAAGTTCCATACATACAAGTATGTTCTTATGTTGATATATCTGATGACAGAAGATCAAAAGTACAATAGAATTAACGGTCTTTTTGTTTCATATATAAACAGCAGTTTAGGATTTATTGTATCATCCTTGACTATTGGGTATAGACACAACGTGAAGGACTATTATATCAGTCATGGTTGAGTTGCTAATCTATTATCGTGTTATATAATTTGTCATTCAAAAATTAGCCTTCATCAATCATGCACGTATTCTTTCGTTTTTTGTCTTTTTGTAGAATTTTAATACAACTTAATATTTTCTAATCTCCTCAAGAATTATAACTCTTATTTTTTTCTCAAATATTTTAAACCGCATTTTGATTCAATATGATGATACATTCTTTTACACTGTTTTCTTTTTTAATGAATAAGTTTTGTGGTTAAATGTGTAAAACATTTGAGTTAATCCATATTTCTAGTAACAGAGGCAAGTTCACACATCAGACAGAATGGCAAAGCGTAAACAAACATACGATGAGAGTAATATTATGCGACTTCAAAACATGTTTTATTTGCCAAAGAAGAATGAAAAAAAAAATATATTAAATTCACTTTTGTGATCGTGAACAATTTTTAATGAGAAAATGAAAACATAATAAACAAAAAAAGTTTAATATTAAAAGTTGAATTAGCACAGAGGGAAAAAAATAAAGTCAACATTTTGGTAAGTGTTATAATACATATGAAGATGAAATAATTAAATTTCATCCATGAAAATAGAATTGTCAACTTCTAGTTGAAGAAACAATAGGTTTTGTACTACATAGGTATTTGTTGAGTGAAAACCAGGTAATTAGTACCTTTTTTTTCTTTTACGAAAAGTAAAAGCTCTTTTCTACAAATGTCGAGGGATATTTTAAATTATATCATGTATATGTTAGCGTTCAATCTGAAATTAGCCTAAGCCAAATTCGAATTTGAGATTGAACGCGTCCAATCTTGGATTTTGCTAGTACCACACAAAAAGCTGCAAATTTTAAGTAAGGTTTAGCAGGATTATTTCTTACCATGTGTTCTAGATGTTCTCTGGTTCGTGGTGATTTGAAAGCAGTGCTTGATGATTCACCATCACTGCTGGTTGTTGTGCTCGTCTTTCCGAACTGAGTCTGTGCACAATTTTGAACTTGCCTATACAGGAGAGCGAACATGCTGATTAGTGAGTTACCAAGCACTGCTTTCAAATCAACACAAATTTGCAACTTTCTATGTGGTACTAGAAACATCTGAGATTGGACGCGTTCAGTTTCAGATTCAGATTTGATCTAGGCCAATCCCAAAATCCGAGTTTGAACGCTAATGTATATTTTTTGTTTTAGCTTTGTGATTGATAGCTAACAGTTTGTCAATGTCCTTCAAAGTCTATTTTATAAAGTTTTTGTGCGTGTACATCCTTCTATCATTGTTATCATTGAAATAAATCTGTTTTTAGTTTAAAAAAAAGTTTCATTTCGAAAAAAAAAAAAAGAAAATTTTGTATGTATCAGATATAGTGGTACCCTTTGGCTCGAACACGTACATACTATAGACAGTTGTATCTTATCTAATCATACCGGCAATAATTTGAATTTTTATTTCACAAATTTATTTCTTTTTTTACATACATACATATAATAAAAGTTCAATTTTTTTATTTAAAAAAAAAGAATAGGAAAATGGATAAAATTTCATAGAGCCGGAAAAATGAGGATATACTGTATATGTCGCTAAAGGACAAGAATTAGAAGAAGAAAAAAAAGAGTGACTCGGTAAGAGAGATATCCAGTTTCTAGCTACGTTTTCAAACTGTATTTTCTATATGTATATATATATATATATCTTTAATTTGTTAAGAATCATGTAAGTGCTATCAAGGCTGATTTGAGCAATAAAAAATTTTCACTGAAAAGAAAGAATAATCAATGTAATATTATAGTAAAATAACATGTTATTATTATTTACTCTTATATAGTATATCACATTTCCGTTCATATTATACATCTACTCTATAACTTAAAATATAAACGAATAAACGAGAAAAATTGTTAGTCTTATTTTTTTCGTTGTTTGATTAACAGAAGTCATGTTGTTTTTCACACGTACTTGTTATCATACAGGTATACTTAAAATTAGATTTGTAAATGTATATATATATGTATGTTTCAGGTGCATCTATACATGATCATAGTCCTTCAATAACATATGATGATAGTAACGAATTATCAAATCGTTTATCTTTACTTGAATATGCTTTAGAAGCAAATATTATTGAACAAAAACAATTATTAAAATCAAAATTATTAACTGAAGAACATGCACGTTTAAAAATTCAAGAATTAGAAGATCAATTACATCGTGAACAATTATATTCACAAGAAAAATTAAATAAATTAGAACAAAAATTAAACGATACAACAACAATGGCTGAAAAAGAAAAACAACGTATACTTAAACATTTGGAAGATGAAAAACGTTTTACACGTGATATTATATCGAAATCAGAACAAATGATCAAACAATTAAAACGTGAATTATCACAAGAAAGAATAGTTAAAAGTGAACAACAAAAAACAAGTGAAGCATTAAGAGATATTTATAAAAAAATAAATCCAGAAAAATTAAAACAACAACGAATCGAAAATAGTAAGTAGATTGATTATTGAATTATTTACATTATCGATTTTCAACTTCAAGAAGTTTATTGAGCCAATATTTCATATTAAGATCTGAATTTTTTCTCTATGAGTGATCATCTTGATATTTTTAGTATAAAAGTGTAGGTATGCTAGTGTACGAGTTTTACAGATTATCGTGAAACATTTGAAATTTATGAAATCAAATATCCAACCATCCATTTTCAAAGAAGAGCGTAGACAACTCTCTTTTTTGAATAATGTCTGAAAGCAAACATGATAATTGAGCTCAACTAGAAGGTACACAACTTTGGGATTAGCGATATAAACTATTGTTAAGATTCTGAAAAGACTTCTCGGTTTTGATTAGCTGTTCCCTGAAGTTCACAATCTTTGAATATGGCGATCTATCCATTTACTTATTATAAAATCATAGCTCTGGGTAGAACTAACACAAACAATAGAACCATGCATAGCACACAGAGCACTATGCATTTGTAGAGTGATCTGTAAAAGTATCTATTTTCTTTGTCTTAAAGCTCCACCCTAGAAATTCGTAATTTTACTAAAAACTTGGAAATTTTAATGGATATGAGGCTGGATACCCTATGATGTCTAGTTTCAGAATCTAGTTCGTTTGGCAGTTTTTAAGGAAGTTTTTTGAAAGTCTCTCAGAAACTGAATTTTCCAGTTTTCGTACTTTTTCCCTTTAAAATCTTACAAAATTCATTTTAAGAAAAGCTGAGTTGTATAGAAAACATTTGATTTCAAAATGAGACGTTCACCAGCTCCGCACGATCTTTTGATCAGAAGTTCTTTCCTCTTAATGGATTTTTCTACAATAGGTGTTTACCGTTGCAAATATTTCTCGTTGTAGAAAGCAGCTAGCGAGCTCGGATTGGTTTCGCTTTATCACATTGATCAATGGGAACAACGTAACAGAGCCAGATTTTTAAGTTAGGTCTTACTGTTTTCTAAAAAACTTCTAAATGATTTTTCGGATTGTTGAAATAAAATGCGTATATCTCACTTCTGAATAAAAATCTCGAAAATCCGGTTCTGTTACGTTATTTTCCTTTATCATTCTCACAAGGTGAAACAACCCTGACCTCTCTGGTTGCTTTCTCGGCGGTGGAAGTTATATGTGATATAACTTTATGCTTTTTAGCTCACTTTGTTCGAGAGATATATGAGCTTAAGATTTATTTATATTTTCTTTTTTCTAGATCATGATCAAGACTCTCGAACGCCACTTTCATCATATCGTAGTAGTCGAAATATAAAGAATGATGATAATTCCGATGTTGATACAAGTCTTCATAAATCTCGTACTAATAACGATTCAACTTTAGATAATTCTGTAGATAAAACTGAACCTCCACCATTATTATCTTCAACACCTCGAGATATAACACATAATAATAATGAACAAAAAGTAAAAAAAGCCCCTGTTTTTCGTCATTTATCTCATTCGAATAATACCACTACTACGGCTGAATTTCAGCAAGAATTAAGTCAATTACTACAGAGAAAAAATGATTCAATTTTAAGTGGAAAATCACGAACATTATCACCGCCAACTTTGAAAATTGATAGACAAGATGATAATGAACAACGAAATGGACATTTACCACCAACACCAAAAAAATGTTTAGGTCTCAATTCGAGTATTTCATCGTTAGATAGATTAAAACATCAGCAAAAACATGATGAACAGCAAAAAACTGAAATTAATCCACCTCAATTTGACAGAGAACAGCGTATTGACGGAGGTCTGTATTAAACAGGTTTATCGATATATTTCTAATATTATAATTGTTTTAGGTATGATTAAAGAAGATGAGAATAATTTATTGTATCGTTTACATGGTTACTACAAAGCTGGTCAAGTCTATTTATCAGAAATGACTACTGATAACGACACTTTACCTAATACTGATGGGTCAAATTATTTATCACAACCGTTAAAAACAGCTAATGATTCAGGTTATTCAAGTCAACAAACAGCACGCTACGTGGATCCATTCTTATCAACTCAACCATTTTCTATTCAAAAATGTTTTAAAAATATAATGGGTAATGAAAATATGATTCAGTTCAATCATGATTACACCGTTGGAATGGTAAGAACTGGAGATTATAGTAATACTCATCATCATTATCAAAGTGCACAAAATATTGCACAACAACCGCACACGGGAAATGTAACATTATATCCGACACCTGAAGGTTACATGCTCGGACCGAACTCAGTTACACTACAGCAACAACATCATCAACGATCAGTAAATAATTCAGAATATTTTCATCGATTGACACCTCGAGAACAGCAACAACATCCACAATTTTCAACATCAGTAAATATTCCACCAGAAGCTCTATCATCAAATCGAACCCAACGATCAGATGATATAATACAATTACAAGGTAGAGTCAAACTTTTTTTATCACTTATGATAGGTTAAAATCGCTTAAAAACAGGTTCTAGAAACAGATAACTCGATCTTTTACTTTGAATTTTATAAAATGCGTATGCTATTTTTGAAGAACTTTCGAATGAAAAGAGCTAGACACCTGCTGTATTCTTCGTTCGAAAGAGGAGACTTGACTACATATTTTCCTAACTAAAAAAATTTCGAAATCTTCGTGTAAACTAGATTCTATAGGCCATCTTCGGAAAACCAGCTCACTACTCAAAAATCAGAAATAAGAATCTGCTGTTCTTTTTCATGGATAGATAGCTCATAGTCTCCTCTTGAAAACAGGAGTTAAGAGCACTTTTGATTTTTTATTGTTAAGATGTGACATTGGATTTTCTAGCAGCTCTACGACTGGTGTATGGCGACTATTAAGGGTACCCCTCTCCTCTTCTTGGGCTTTCCGTAGAAATGCTGTGAAATAAGAACTAAAAGTCACTAACGCTTCATATTTTCAGAACTGATTGAAAACTCAATGGAGCACTTTTCGTTTTTGTTTCAACTTTTAAACTATTTCCGTTTACCAGTTTTCCAGAAAACTCGTTTTTCCAGTGGACCACATTACGACCCCCCTCTAAATTTCATCCGATCGAGTTAAAAATTTTACCAAAGGTACTTTTTTGGCTCTGAAGGAAAAATTTCAAAAATGCATAACTTTTGAAGGAAGGTCGTGGAGTGCTGGGAGTGATCTCATTTTGTAGCCCACACTTTCCTCTACATTAGACCATGCTCAGCTCAAAATCCGAAATTTTTTCAAAAAAGACGGAGGGGAGTACCCTTAAGAACCTTCGAAAAGGATAGATTGTATAGAATTGGATCTTGTAATGACATTCATTTTTTCAGAAACATTTAAAAACATAATAAAAACTTAGTTCCACGAATAATAGTGCTTCGAGTGGTTTCCACCTAAAACCAAAAAATTCATAATTCATTCAGAATAGACTCAGTTGTTGTCTATACAGATGGATGAGGACAAAAAAAGGGGGTGAATGAAAAAGATAGAGTCAACAAATCTTATTCAGACACTAATTAAGATATTAGATTATGTTATGCAAATCTTAGTAGGATAATTGTAAGAAGTGCCTAAGATTTTTACTAAGATTTTGCTTTTTCAAACCAACTACTTGAAAAACTTTTCGAGTACTAAAAGAAAGCAGAAAATTTTTCGAAAGTTAAATAAAGAGTTTTGATGCACAGTAGAGACAAATTTAGAAAAATTTCGTTTCTTCTTAACGAAATGACGCGAACGGTTTTATTTTTTATAGAACAGTTCACTCCATCGTGAACCATGTTTAGCTCAAAAATACAGTGTTTTCCTAAAATGAGGAGTGGGAATTACCTTTTATAAGCCTTTAATCTTTAGACTGAGAGTCAGTATAGCATAGTTTCTGCTAGCTAACAGATTTAGTTGTCCTAGGCAAAAATCTATCATTTTCGTTCTTTATACGCTAAAAATCAGCATGATCGATTTTTTTCGAAAAATGTACAATTTAAGCTTATCAATTAGTATGAACTCGGTTGAAGCGTAGCTTAATGACTTTGAGCATTGTTTACTGATTCATCGATTTTCGTTCTTCTTCTATCCACAAATTTATCCATTTTCATGTAAAATTATCCATGATCATTAATACGTACAGTCAAAAATGTGATCTTTCAAAAGTGCACCAGATACATGAAGAAATCTTTGATTTAGTTTTTTGAAAAAGAGTCGTCACTTTTCTTTCTTTCTTTATATCACAAGGCGATACTATGTATATTCAACACATGACTATTGTCTAACACAACACACACACAAGAAGAAATCATACATTTTTCGAAATTTTTTTAATTCCTACAGAGTTCAAGTGTTCTTTTTTCATCACGATCCTTTCTATATTCATGATATCTTTTACATCATAAATCGTTGCTAACAAAATTGACTATGATAGAAATTGTAAATAAATCTTTTGAATAAACAGTCACTTTTATTATATTTTCAATTTAAAAAGCTGATCATCGTACAGAAATGCTTAAATTTTTACGATTTTCAGGTCCAGTAGTATTCCGTACCGATGTTAATAATATATCACCCATCTCTGTTAAATTACGTAGTTTAAAATATCCACAACCGGAAAAGAGTACAATGACCGATACTGATTCGATTCGTCGAGAAATTGATCGTGCCACAGATGAAATTGATTATTTACGTACTACTTTACATTTAAAAGAAGATGAATTACATAAAGATTCAAAATATTTAAAATTAGCTGATTTAGCTTTAACTAAACAAGATGATGAAATACATTTACTAAATCGTACATTAGAACAACAAAAATTGGAAATTGAACGTTTAAAAGGTGTACTACAAGATTTATTAAATAATGGATCAGAGAATGAACAAAATGTTTTATTAAATGTTAGTGAACAATTGCAACGTGTACAAAAAAATATACATGAACGATTAAGTCCAGCATTAACACGAATCGTAGATAATAGAATACCTTATGTACAACAGCAGGAAGATTCTATTGGAGTAAGTTAATAAAGTTTTATAATATGAGATAGAAAAAAAAAAGTCTAAAAGCATCATCTTTTCTGATATTTGATAGTGTAGAAAGAGTTAGATAAAAATATTTCATTTTATAGATGCAAATGAATGGAGGTCAGTTTATTCCAATTGGTAATACAGATTGGTTATGTAATATTCCAAGACATATTGAGCTAGAACAAATTATTAACGATTTACAAGTAAAATTAGATGAATATCGAGAGCAATTAAATGAAATAAAAAAAGATAATAGACATTTGGAGAAAAAAGTAGTTAGCCAAGATACAATAATAAGACGATCGAATAAAATTGAAGCATTAGATTTAGCTAATCAGCAACAACTACGTCGAGCAAAATCAGCACATACATCTGAAATAGAAACTTTACAGGTAAATGACAAAATAATAAAAGAGTACAAGGATAAAACATGGTATATTATAATACTTTCTCATCTACTTTTTCTAGATGAATGAAGTATGAATGAAGTACTAATTAGTTTTTTATCCGATTCATTCAAATATTTAGGCAGTAGAAGGACAGTCAAAATATATTTTTATACCTAAAACCATACAATTGCGGAATGAACTGGAGTTGTAGATTCGTTTATGCGATAGTCATAGAAAGTTTAGGACTTTGTTAACAGAATGTTATAATACGTCGGCCTGTCCACCAAAGTTAGCTACCGCAAGTGTGATTCTGCCACAATTTTCCACTAAATTAAAATGGTCATAACTTTTTAATGAAAAACAGTAGAGATTCGAACAACATTTCGTTGAAAAGAAAAGACGCAGTTCTTTGAAAACTGAATAAAAATTTTGGTTGAGATGAAAATCGTGTAACTCATCGTGTAACCCGCGATCGCTAAAAAGTCACTGTTATCGCGGCATGATTAAGATAACCTTTTTGGTTAAATTTTAAAATCGCGGCGCGACCGCACCTTTTTCTTGAATTCGTTTTACGATTCCCTATAAGTACGATTTTGTTATACTTCTTAAAAATCAAGAACTAAGAATCTCTCGCTGTAAACGTGTTTTTCAACCACACCCAATACTTTCTTACTTCATTCGCCGAGCGTACGCGGTTTTCCCTCCGCGATCGCGTTACATTCACTTAATTCACGTCGCGATCGCGTGTTTCTCTTACAAGCGTGACATGATACAGGGTCACAGCGCGACTTCGGTACAAATCCTATTCACCGTTTTGTTTTGCTTAGACACCTAGTATATAAGTCACACTGATTTTCAAGAAGTTTTCAAAATCTTCTCACATTTTAGCCATTACTCACCATGAGAAACGGATAAGGATGATAGTAAAAAAATACGGGATCGCGCCGTGACTAATATAAGCCTCATGTAGCCGCGTCACGATTCATCCACGTTTGCGATAAGAGTAGCGTGACGCATTTGTTGTTAGTGGACGAAAAACACGAATGAATAGCGACCGCCGTCAAAGATTGCTTTTTTTCAGTTCAGCAGTGATCTTTTTGTATCTGGTTTCAGATCTGCTTTGTTTTTTGTAATACGAGAGAGACAATGGTACATTACTTTCTGAACTCTCAACGATACACTATGCACGTGACTTTGCTCACCACACTTCCATTAGAGCCCTGTAGGTTACGACTTTTTGACAACCTATGACCTAACCTACGAAACCCGTAGCCTAAACCAGGGCCCTGAATAGGGAATGAACTTTGAAGCGATGTAAAAAATTTTGTATGACTCGCTTTTTGTGGGGGTGTAAGGAAAAAGATTTTTAGTTCCACTGGGGGAAACGAAAAGCTTTTATTTTCGCGGGAGGGGTACACCCCCAATACCCCCAAAATTCAGACCTCCGACCTAAAGCCAACCTATTCTATTAATATTTTTCGTAACCTAACCTAGGTTAACTTAATATAACCTATGCGACTTTTTCCCGAAACCTGGTTTCAGAAGCCTAAACTTCAGCTTTGTTCCAGATCGTTATTGTTTCTTATCTAAACAGCGTCTGATAGAAAAGCTTATACAAAATAAGTCACATTTTACATGAATATAGAAATGAATCGACTGAATCTTTAATGCAACATTTGGAAAATAGTTTTTTGAATATGGGGATTCTCTTAATAGTAGACGAGAATTCCACTTTAGATTCTCGACGTTGGTTCTGTTATTTTTGTGTATATGCCATCTATTTTTAGCAAACGTAAGTTTTTTCTCTGTACTTCCTTTTTATTGTGCCATTTTTCAGTTTAAACTAGAGAACCTCAGTCTGAACTTTATCGGTTGAGCGATAAAGTTCCACTTAAACGGTTTCAGAATCACATCCGTTAGACTAGCATAGGTAAATGTTGGTGCAATTAATGCCAAGAGAAGGCGTGAGAAAGTCTCAGATCATGGCAATCAAGGAATATCTAGTATTGTTCCTGGCAGTTTATTTAGGTTAAAATTAGGTTATCAATACCGTAACCTATAACCGAAACTATAAAAAATTTCATAACCTAACTCTAATCTAACCTATAAACATCGTAATCTAAACCTAACCTATAGGTTAGGTTAGGTTTAACCTGCAGAGCTCTAACTTCCATATCTCTTCTTCTACGTGCACACACACTTTTTCCACTCTCTCAGTCTTTCTTATTTGTCATGGATGCGTATATCACTCACTTGTTATTAATACTTCATTTGTTCCGTTGTTATACTTTTATCCTTGTATGAATCGTTGATCCACAACGCAATTTGGACATCGGTCTTCTAATATATTTAAAGTAAGAATAATTGTCAGTGAGGACAACGTTGATGGTATATGATAATTGTTAAACTTGGATAAAAATTGTTGAAAGACATTTGTAATGAATTGCTGTATATTTTTTAGTCCAAGATGCTTAACATATTTATTCTTTTTTAGGATGATGTATTTGTATTGGAACAACAATTAATACGAAAAAAACGTGAAGTAACAATGGCTCAACAGCAATTGAAAAATATGACGAAATTTTCTCAGACCGTGCGTGATTGTGTTGCTCTACTTATGTAATCTATGTATGATAGTTTTTCGTTTTATCTAGGTATTACACGATTTGAAAACGGCGAAAAATCGACATACAATAACAAAACGTGAAACAAAAGTATTAGAACAAAAAGCTGAATCGCTGACCAGAAAACTTGTTAAATTAACCGATGATATACGCCAGGCGGAAGAACATTATGATAAAATTAAAAATGATGTGCAAATAAGTCAACAAGAGCAAGCAACCTTAGATAAGGTAAATATTTCTATTCTTGAATAATTGTAGTCATAAATAAAGTTAATTTATCTCTTAGAATGTCGAAGAGAAGAGAGCATTATCAATTGTTCTTGACGAACAAATTCGTGATTGTTATAATTCGTTTAATTCGCTCATACGTACATCAACTCAGTGTCTGACAGATCTCTCAACGACTAATGATGATAATAACATCACCAGTTATCAGTCACAACAGTATCCGAATATATCGTTAATGTCACGTGACGATATTCAACGTTATTTAACTCATGCAGTAACTGAAAATAATAAAATAATGTTAAAACATCAAAATATGTTACAAAAACAAAAACAAAAAGCACAACAATTAAAACAAGAAATCAAAGAGAAAGAAGTTCATTTAGAACAATTGAGACAAAACTTAGGTAACTTTAAATCTAGAACCAGTGGGAAATATTAAGCAACTAGTCAAGATCGCTACATGGAATGTTGTCCTAACCTATTTCACTCTCTCTTTCTCTCTCACTATTTGCAGGTACAATGAGTTATTTTTGCTTTTCAGATTCCTCGAATGAACAATTACGAAGAAGTTCTCAAGAATTATTAGAAAACAAACAAGTTTTAGAAGAACTAGAAAAAGTAAAAGAAATAAAATTAGATAAATTAAATGAATGTGAACGTGGCTATGATCGGAAATTGACACAAGATAAACAATTACAACAACAATTTGAAATTCTCACATCGGATGTACAAAAATTAAAACGACAACAGAAAGATTCGCTAGCAGATTATGACGCTCTACGACATAATATTGACGCTGATCAAAAGATTTTAAATGAAATTAAACTTGAAGCGCAACGTTTAAAAGAACAAATAAAAGTATTCTTAGACGATAAGGAAACACTCGATGAAACATGCGATCTATTAGGTAAGCAAATCAACGAGAAAAGAATAGACTTTAATGGAATTACATTGATTTCTTATCTCTTCATATTCTCTAATATTCGTAGCTCATATGACTGGTTGTTGAGCACTTTTGCCTTTCTCCATTCTTCTCTGCACAATACTTATCATCCATCTAGCCAAACACTTCTTACACGATTAAAAATTCATCTGAACGAGAGTTTTTGCATAGAAGATACAGTACCATATCTAATTGGTGGTGTTA